GCAATTCTTACTTAACTTTTCCCATGAAGGAAAATTTATGCAGCCAATAATTCCCTTATCTTATAGTTTCCAAATAAACCTTAGATATKAATACTTACCACAAACTAAACACTTTCCACAAGTAAGTTCTTATGTTAAAACACCCGTCGGGTGGATTTAGGTCACCAGCTAGCTTAGGCTATAGCTCACCTTTCACTTTCAAAGTGAACACGCAACTGTTTACTAAGCTAAGTTTATAATTTCACGTCAACAATTTTGTCCTAGGAGTAGCTACATTAGTAGTAAACGTAGACAACAGAATAGTCCTTACAAAAAGGCAACGATCGGCACGCGATGGTCGACGACGCGCGCCATTTGCCTATAATTTGTAATAAGATTTCAAAATGCAGGTCGAATAAACCACCACTGATCGGACCGTCAGAAACAGGCATACGCCACTTACTAAGGTATTTATAGTAAATTCCAACTTACGTTTGCAATCAAGCTTTTCTCCTTCTTAGGTAGCAAGTAGTTTTCCAACCGTTCCCAGGGCTTCTCTCCTGACTTAAAAGGGACAGGCATCCCGATTAGATGTAACAAATCAGTGGCCATATAAAAAGACGATCGAAGAGGACGATGATAAAAAGAATTAAAACAAAATGAAACAATTATTATTTGGAATTTATGGTATTCAATATTTTTGAGTTTTGAAAAGTGTACCCCATAATTTCAAAAACARACCACCCTATATTYAAAAAAAAATGTGACCCAGGCTGTTGTAATRMGCCAAASGTGTAAAAATAACATGTTGCCATGGATACTYCCCCCAWATTCTCCTTTATCTTGCTATATAGGTAGAAATTTGAATTATTTTCAAATTTCTACCTATTTTTATAATTTCAACGCACACACTATATTGGGGGTAATATTTGAAGGGATGGTATAATCATTGTATCTTGTAAGAGTAAAAAGTAGGTATCTTGTGGATGATCTGGTGTCCTTTTATGAAAATCAGCATCTTAAAGGTAATGTCAGTCAGCTCAATGTTTATTCGTGTTTAATTATGCCAACATACATTTTTAGTTGGTTTCTATTAGGGTTGAAACTATTATTGCCACACCCTTTTTCATGATAACCTGTACCCTAAATAYAACCCCTCATGTATTTTGCAATTTAGGGTAGATGTGATCCATTTCCTGACAATGGCTTATCATTTCAATGGAAATTATTTATTAAARTCATTACTCATCAATTTTTGCATGTGCCTTAATGCCATATAAATAATCTAAGATGTATCTCAACAAAAATTGTCACCGAGAGGATACACAAATGAGGGGGAAATATTGAATGGCAGAAGTGGTCCAAGCAGGCTGTTCATGGCGTGCACTGCCTGCCCTTGCCAATTATGGCTCTGCTGCATTTATTAGTGTGTAAAATTCAAATTATCAAATATTTAGCAAATTCACTTGAATGTCAGCCATGTTCTGGGATTGKCTATTTGTATTTTGTCAATAACCTCTTGTGATATTCCTCTTTTTAGCATCTTAGGAATGATATTCACTTGAATGTGAGAGTATCCATGACCACCATACTTGAGGAGTTGATGACGGGCATAAATGTCATGAGATATCAAAATTTGTTCTTCAAATCCTTCCTCAATAAGAAACTTGATTTCATTGATACGTTGGCAATCACTTGGCATATCAATGGCTGGATTTAAGCAATACTGGACGGGATGGACACCAAATAAGTCATATTCAATGTAACAGCCTGTAGCTGCAAGATCAAGTAGAGTGCTGTGGTCAAAAATAGTGCGATCAATATGAGCAATGACCGTCTTGCTAATGTGTCCACCTGCTTCTTGTAACACACGAAGGTGTTCAAATGGTGCCTTCTCATTGCGGCCTGGATGGATCATCACCGGAGCACCAGTGTCTCCTTGTGCAATTCCTGCTGCTTGTAGGGATTTCTTTTCAAAATGAGTAACAGGCCAAGAGCAACCAACTTCCCCTATTATGCCACACTTAATTCCAGTATTATCTACTCCAACAGTTACCTCTTTGACTATTGTCTGAAAATTGAAAATAGAATATACTTCGTTAAATATACAGTTCGCTTAGAAATCACTGAATACTAATATGGGATTCCATTGTATGTCAATCTATACAATTGCCATTCAAAAGGCAAAAGTAAAAAAAGTTTAAAGTTTAGATTGTCAGTTTGTAATTCAGTTGACTCAGCCAAACATGTGAGTGTATGCAAATCATATTGCCTGTCAGTTCAAGCACTATAATCTAATTGGTCTAATAAAGGGCCATGCATGCATGTTTGGACAACAAGAAATACAACAGCAGATTAAAATCATAATTTTTATGCAATGAAAGCAAATGAAAGCACTAATAGTATTGATAGAAAGGGATATTAATGCTGAGGTCCTTCAATAACATTTTGAACTTTTCCTACATCTTACACTGAACATTTCCTCTACTGTAAGAGACTTCATCTCATCTGTCACAGTTTCATCCAAGTAAAACCCTGTCCCTGATATGACATTAAGTCCAGTTGCCAAAGAGATCTTTTTCAGTGACTCAATGTTCCTTTGCATTCCATGAGAGGTGTTCTCCACAATAGTTGAACCTCCCTCTTTCTTAAATTCTGCTGCTTCACTAATAATCTCATCAAGGGGCTCATCACCAAGTCCAAGACTATATGWATGGCTGCATGGGTTTTGATGAATCCAGTGCAGATTAYGCAAAGTTATTTCATTGAGATTAACTGTGCCCAAGTCTTTCTCTCTCTGTGGTTTTACAACACATCGTTTATAATCCATGACCAGGTGTTCATGGGGGAGAGTACGTCCAATCTTTGAAGGATCAATAAGACCAACAACAGTCTGCACTTTTCCTGAAGTCATTCTCAATACCCTTGAGCTGACAAAAAACCTGTTAGTTGCAYATTCAAAAAACATCCCTGGCATTTGGGGCAAGGGAGATATCATCATAATAAAAAATCATCAAATAAAACAATTTAGTTTTTATGAAAAAATGTTAATTAGCATTGTAAATCACTAAATTACTTGCATAAATTACGATCCAAAGATATCATAGTATAGCGATACTCAATGTTTATCAAGAAACACATTCTTTTAGTTTTTTAAAATGCCCAGCAACCATAATCAGAATGACTAATCGTCTTCTGGTTGTCACATGAATAGGGCTATTGCATTTAAAAACCGTACACCCCATGTTGAGGAGGGGTAGGGGTATAGTATAGTTGCAAGTTATTTATTTGACGAAACCTCAGCATATATGATAGAAAACTTTCATTGTGTGAGCTTAGTCCAGCTCCGCTATACATTCTTTCTTATCACGAAAGAAGATAAAGTCCGAAAATATAACTTACGTTTAAAGGACGAGCAAGGATGCGAGCTTTTGTCAGCTACTTAGACATGGCGATGCCGTCTCGACTTTGGGAGCTGAAAATTATTCAACATGGGTTGGCGTGACGTCACAAAAAATTTGAAATCTCTAATATCCACACTACTATACACACAGGAATGCTAGCTATATTTGTTATATAACTAAATGTCGCATAAAGACATAAGAAAGTAAGAGCAAAGATGAGTTTATATTCTTTGTTTGTTAAACGTTAAAGCTTTAATTGTGTCGTCACCGGCCAAAGAATTATTATTATACCAAGAACAAATATATTTGATGTGCATATTTYCCCCCCACAAAATATGTCATAGCAAAATATGTCGATAAAACTTTAATTTCTCTTGTTGGTGGTGATGAAATCAATTGACCACGTTGATGAAAACAGTTGACCACCTGCCAGAAATTTTTCGACTTCTACAAGAATATGCTACACAGGAAACCCACAAACCTGGGTTCGTAGCCCGGTACTTTGCATTTCTTGTAAATATCATAATTTTTGCACAGTATTTTAATCAGAAAAAGGGGTCTTTTGACGTTTTGTATCTTGATGTACTAGTATGCAGTGCTGATGCATGGGATATTGAGGGATATGAAAATAAAATAACAAAGAAGACAAAGAAAGTTGAAAAACTCGTTTCGTCAGTCAAGAAGCCTGGTGCTGATGCGCATAAAGTGTAATTTTGAACACACCTGCGCATCTACGAAATTTTAAGATGGCCGTTTCGGGCCAAAATATCGAAAATTTAGTTCAAAAATTACGTAGTTCTTCGCTATCTACGTTAAAAAAGACATTATCAATAGTTGCTAAGATAACTAAGAGGTCGAATGAAGCCGAAGCATTTCGAAAAAATGGTGGTTTGGCCGGACTTTTAACTCTTTTAAAGAGACCAAATAMTTCAATCATTGATATGTCCATGAGTGCTATTGCCAATTGCTCTATGTTTCCTGAGTGCAAAAAAGAGGTTAGTATTATCTCTTTAAGCATATTTCGAATCTGAAAGCATTCTCAAAATGCTTTCAATATTTTTTACTGTTATTTAGAAAAAAAATTGAAAATTTACCCACCCCTCCCCCCAAATATTTGGAAAATTTCAATATTTTTTTCATTTTAATTAGATACGTCAGTTGGATGGAATACTTCCTATAGGTATGTGTATGAATATTTTGGATRATTAATTATGTAAGAATTTCAATAAGACAAGGGCTCTAGATGCAAGAGAATGGTATGAATATGTCAGTTCATGGTTCCGAAAATTGACGCAGTCTTCCGACGATTTGTCTATAAAATTCCTGATAACATTTCTCTTTAAGTCTTTTTGAGAAGTACTAGAAGGATTTAATTGTTATGCGTTAATACCATTTAGCACTTCGTGCTTTTGTCAGCACACGTCTTTGGATCCATATGAAGCATTTTCTAGATTAGTTTATGACTTGGGGAACAGAATGAATCGTCCTCCATTTAACCTGGCTGAGTAGCGCTCAGCTGCTWTACAAGTGCTCCATCAACACCTCAAATTCTCCCTCCGATCCAACTTTGTTTACATTTTTTGTGGGACAACATGGCTGCCATTATGTGTCAGTCTATTCTGATTGGCCAGTCCCCCGTGCGAATGACGCGTTTGATTTGTCAGAACTATGAATTGAGATTGTGAGAAGGTCAGATTGAGGCAAAATTAAGGTGGAAAATGTATAACATTTATTATAAGTTTTTAGTGAGTCAAAGGTTTAGAAACATTTTTAAAGGCAGACAGGCAGACATTTTGTCTACCAGTTTAGAAGAAAGTTAAAACATTATAAATTTATTCCAGTTTCAGTATTAAAGAACCTCAAATCAACTAGCATCCTGAATAGAACAGCACGAGCACTGGCCAATTTAGCAGAAGATGAGGCAAACGCYATGGTCATTGAAGAACTGGGTGCTATTGATGAACTTGCTAAACTTCTTGATGAGACAACAGACACTGACTGTCAGCAGTCTCTTCTCAGAGGTTTAAAAATAATGTGCACAACTCAAGCTCGAAAAAGGACAGTTGTTGAGCAAGGTTGTCTCAAAACTATTGTTGAACTTCTGAAAAGTGACAAACCAGCACTCCAGAGCTGCTCAATAAAAACTATTTGTGAACTGACAAAAAATTGCCCTAAAGAACTGGCTCTCCACATACAAGAATTTGATGGAATAAAAGAGATTGTCAAATTGGCAAACAATGAAAAGCATTCTGTTTGCTCTGTGGCTTTGTTGTCCATAGTTAACCTTTGTGTCCATGCTCATGTWCGTGTCTCCATTGGYAGTGAAGGTGGGATAAATATTCTTTACCAGCAGGCCAAGTTAARCTCTTCCARTCACATGAACCTTACCTTAAAGGCACTTGAAGGACTTTGCTATTGYTGCAGAGAAGCAGTCAACAGGAATAAAGTGCTTGAATGTGGTGGCATTGAACTATTGTTGAAGCAYTTTTCAAATCCAGAACATACCTCTCTTCAGAGAAAGATCATCACTGCATTCAACTGCTTCTATTACAATGAAAAGTGTCTGGAGTATTTACTCATTGGTGGTGTAGTGCCTGCACTCTTGTCTTACCTGAAGAAGGTAATACAAACCAGCCATGTTGTTGACCACTGTGATGACTACAATGATCACTTTGATCAGGAAAGTTTCACTTCAGACTTCTCCAGTCCATCTACATCTCCACGGACCATGCCAATGGAATCATCAAACATCTCCCTCAATGAAACCTTTTTAGAAGAAGCTGCTAGCCTAGCTATGGAAGTGAGAGAYGCTAAAGAAAGTAACAGAGTACTGACATTCAAGAGGAAAGAACGCAACAAACAACCATCAACACCATCACCAAGTGTCAAGTCTATYGACCAGTCATCTTCATTATTTAGCTTTTCTTCTTTAGATTGTACAACTGAAACAACATCTATGATCAGCACTTGTACAATTTCATGTAGAAATGCTGCAACATCGCCATTTATTCCAATTCATTCTCGTCCTAGAACTTTGATAAGTTCAACTCCATCACTACAAAAAACCTATTCGAAATGTTCCTCACCAAATATTCTGACAACTTTTAATCTTGATGAAAAGAGTGAAAACGAAGATAAACTTGCTGTWGAAGGCTTGTCACCTGTATCTCTAAACAACACCACAAAATCTGGGTTTGTGTCTTCAATAGAAACCACAACAGCATTTTGCTCTAATRTTTCGCCTTCATCTCAACCTAGCAGTAGCACAAAGTCTTGGTTTGTGCRACCTGTATTAGAAAGTCCAAAGGCAGTTGGTTCACATACATGGAATGAACCCAGAACAGTTGGGGAATGCTCACCACAAAGGGCAGTAATTCTCCCTCCTTTGTCTTCGCCTAAAATAGATGCACCCTTAGTTTCCCATCATGCAATTCATGGTCCTGGGCATAGTGCATTGGTTTTGCTATCAAGGTTCTCACAGATGAGTGACCAAAAGGGCTTACATTACCTGCTAACTAAGCCTTGTATARAGGTKCTGCTGGATTACTTGTCTCTAGTTGATAACCCRAGCCCAAAGTGTGCACGTTTGCTGAATAACCTCACTCTGGACCCCCAGTGCTTTGAGAGTTTTGTTGGCATGGGTTTGGCGTGTGATATACATCGACAGCTGTGCTGGGGCTGGACAGATTCTTACTGTAGTGAAGGAAGGATGTCAACTCAAGAAATTGTTGAAGGAAGTGCTTTGAATGAAGATCATGTAACAGAGGCATTGATCTTTTCTCAAATTCCGGAAACTTCAATTCAAAGATGTGGAGGGATTGGCAGRAAGCTCCTTGATAACCTGGCTTGTCAAACCCAGACACCATTTTGTAAAGGGGTTTTGATGCATCAATTGTCMAAGGGATCTGGTGAAGAATTACTTGGTTGTGTAGTGACATTACCATTCATGTGCAGGTTAGTAGAATTACTGAAAATTATATTTCTTTCTTGGAGTTTTACAGTAGTGTTTCAATTTACAAAGGTTTAAGAGAAAATTAGAGGGTGTATATGTCATACCAAAATCAGTTTTTGGTTATGTGACATAATTTCTTTAAAAGCATGTAGGGTTTTTGTTTAGGTTTAATTTGTTATCTTGTTTGCAGATCRAAAAGGTTGCAGAATCAAATGCTTATAATGAAGGGAGGTCTAAAACTTCTTTGTGATGCACTCCTTAATGCAAGTAATGACAAGAACTTCGCCAAGGCAGTTTACTCTTTATCAGTTCTAAGTGTTGAAACTGAACTGAACATTACAATTCCAGCCATAGTGTCAAAACATAGTTCATTAATTGAAAGCCAAGAAAGYRTCGTAACTGATKGCAAAGTGAATATTGGAAAAAGAAAACTCTTCACTGAATTAGATAAGAGAGAAGATAGCAATGTGGAAACAAGTCCTAAAAGACAGAAATTAACCAGTGAAACCTGCAAGTATCACWGCAATGATTATGGACCGTATGATATCCAGTTGGAGATTGACACTGGTGCAAGAATTCCTGTCCATCGCAGTGTACTATGTAAATCATCAGACATGTTTGCTGCCATGTTTTCATCAAACTACAAAGAAGGTTCAATGCCAGTTGTGCAACTCAAGGAAATTACCCACAATGCACTTTGTCTAGCTATTCACAAAGCATATGGTTGTTCATTTCCATATTTTCAAGACTCAGGATGCAGCAATGTTTGTTCACATGTCACAGAAATTGTGAATTCCATTGCTTCAGATGCAAAGTTCAATCTTTTGATAGATGTTCTAGCAACAGCAGACAAGTTTCTGATGTTGGAGTTAAAACATTTTTGTGAAAGTGTTTTGCCTTCATTTGTCAATGAATCAAACTTGGTTTCTCTCTGTTTGTGTGCAGCACRTTATCAATCCGAAGCACTCTGTGCCTTTGGAATGAAATTTTTAATGCTGAAAGTCAAGGATCTTTCTTGCCAGTATAACTTAGCTAAACAAGTTTGCAAGTCAGAAGAAAAGACAAAGTTGGTCAACAGTTTGTACGAAACTCTTTTACATAATTTACAAAAGARAATTTGATACTTTTAAAATAAAGGCACMACTCACTCAGCAGACTTAAACAGTTGAAATACACTGTGAGAAATTATATTTTCAAACAAAAAAATTAATGCAAAAATATGGACGTCAAGCAGTGACCTTTTATTTTATTTCTTTGGATCTGAAGTGAAACGTCTGAAGTTACTGCTAAATATTATTTATTCACAAAGAAAATAGGAATAGAATGCAAAGTTTTTTATTGTTCAAATTCATATCAAAAGCAATAATAAAAGCTATAGATCAAATGAATTTATCAATCTCATAAGGGGGTCTATGCCAARAGTTTTGCAAAGGGGTCACAAAAGGAAAGTATCGAAGGATACAGGTTCGAAGGATACAGGTTCTGGGCAGGTGTACCCATCATCTGAGTGCACCACTCTYTACATTTACAAAAAATGCATATATTTCAGTGACTTTGGAGGTCAAATTCAGAAAGTTTGGTTGAGTAACCATGTACAAGAGAATAGTCCACTTCGCGGATAATTCGAAATTTTACATTACATCGTTATGGTAAATCATTGACATCACTGGAAAGAGCGTCATAAAATCAGCAAATTTGCCAAGTTTGAAAATAATCTGATTTAAATTCAAAGAGATACGGCACTTCAAAAACACTAAATTTTGCATAGAAATGTTTGGCGAGGTTGTAACAAGTCAAGGTCAACCTCGATCTCATGCCGACAGCCATACATTTCTTTCTAAATTTTGCTGACTTTTAAACGCTGTATCTCCTTCACTTTTCATCGAATCATGCTCAAACCTGGTAAAAATACTAATTTCATACTGTTCTTTCCAGTGGTGGTAATAGTTTTTCGATATTTGCTCAATTTCTAATAGCTGTGTTATCCGCGAAGTGGACTATTGAAGGACAAAGCCAGCCAGCCAGTGTGCACACAATCAGTAGGACTTTAAATCCAATTCAATCTGAATCCTTTTCCCTTTACAAGAGAGTTACCACTCTTTTATTTGATAATGCACTCTTTTTGTGACAAAAGCCCTTTCAATCTTACTTTGCTTTATCTTTCGCCAAATTTATTTTTTAGTACAGGTGCAACTTTGCTACTTGAAATGGACTAAACAGGGCTAATATGAAAATAGCTTGTAAAACATGATGCACAAAAATATCAATGTAAATATTTTAATAAAAAAAGTCAAGCAGAGTGATCTAAAAGATTGCTTCACTTGGCAACCACATTACTATCTCACTTTCTGGCAAGATAAGGAGTTTTGCAGAGCAGTGATTTTCCAGTGCAAAAGAACATTGAGAACCAAACCAACCATTACCATGACCTACTTTCTGATGGAAGAAACTTTGTAAAAAGTGGTATTTGTACCAGAAAAAAAACCTGTTATAAATCAATATAAATCTGTCAGTTATCAGCATGAAGGTAATCATGGCAGGTGGGCCATAGCCCCCAAAGGTATCTGTCAAATGGGCAAAGGGCAAAGGTTTTGGAGAAAGGTGACTAGCTAGACAGATATGTTCTTCTACACCTGTGCTCTTCTCAGTTAATCCGAAGTCTCAATTCACTCAAATTGCAACAAATCAGATTTAATACYCTGTGAGCAAAGGAATTTTTCCATCCTGTTCCACAAACGAAAAATAGACAGAAGTGGAAAAATTCCTCTGCTAGCATGGTACACTTTGATAAACCCTATTGTCAAATATACAGTAAATTCCATCATACAAATAAGCTTTGATATCAACACTGCCTTACATGTTCATAGACAATATTAAATAGAACTTTATCCTTGACCTTCTGAACGAATCACACWCTCATCCATAAATAAGGTAAAGTTATCTTTGTAGATGGCGAAGTGTCCAAGTCCAGTCTGACAAATCTCTTTGAAAATAACATTTAACAAGAAACTCAACGAAAACATAGACGGTACTTTCAGGTAGACAAGCATTGAGCATAACTTTCATTTTATTTGATGGCTCCTAGAAGAGCCGTTGTTATATTCGTTCTTAAGTCTTGTGGGTATGGTTGTCTAACCGCCAAAACCGTACAGAGTACGTCCTTGGCGTTTYAAAGCGTASACSACGTCCATGGCAGTGACGGTCTTTCTCTTGGCGTGCTCGGTGTAGGTCACAGCATCACGGATCACATTCTCAAGGAAAACTTTGAGTACACCTCGGGTCTCTTCGTAGATCAGGCCAGAGATTCGCTTGACTCCACCACGGCGAGCAAGACGACGGATGGCGGGCTTGGTGATTCCTTGGATGTTATCCCGAAGGATCTTACGATGACGCTTGGCGCCTCCTTTTCCTAGACCTTTTCCTCCTTTACCTCTTCCAGACATTTTCTTCTCGCAGAGACTCAGACAGTGCACTTCTTCTACTGGAGTTTTTAGCAGTGATCGAATGAGAAAGATTCAGGTTTATAAACTTTATGTACTTACCTCTTAGGAAATACCCAAAYTGACTGCATTGATACTAAGTTGTGATTGGTCGATAAAAATTTGCATAAACTTCCACTCTGATCCTGAAGTTGTCACTTTGCGAAAATGTCTCAACTTTACCAGCCAAATTYAGTAGTATAAATTGAGAAAATGCTGTATATAATCTTCTAAAAATATTCTTMTCTACTTGAAAATATATTATCGTTTTACTATACAGTAAAAATGTCAAAATTCTGGTTGAAATTTCAAGTTATATTATTTTGAGCTTAGTTTATGCTCGACCTTGAACGATGGAAGGATCAATGCGAATAAAAAGTAGCCAATCAAAAGCGTTGTGATGTCTCCTTATCCAATCAAAATCAATATTTTTATAGCCAATCAAAGACGTTTCACAGTGGTATAAATRCTTGAGCGGCAAATTSTTCTGATAMATTCAGTTTCTTTCTTGGTTATCARAAWRAYWTATYRTTATGGCTCGTACAAAGCAAACCGCGCGAAAATCTACTGGAGGAAAAGCTCCCCGAAAGCAGCTCGCAACCAAGGCAGCACGTAAAAGTGCCCCWGCAACTGGTGGAGTYAAGAAACCWCATCGTTACAGACCTGGWACAGTCGCTCTTCGTGAAATCCGTCGTTACCAGAAGTCSACCGAGTTGCTTATCCGCAAGCTTCCCTTCCAACGTCTCGTCCGTGAAATTGCTCAGGACTTCAAGACAGATCTTCGCTTCCAGAGYTCAGCTGTTATGGCCCTTCAGGAGGCTAGTGAGGCTTACTTRGTTGGCCTGTTTGAAGACACCAACTTGTGCGCCATTCATGCCAAGCGAGTCACCATCATGCCCAAGGACATTCAGCTTGCCCGCCGAATCCGTGGCGAGAGAGCTTRAAATGCTCCATACTAATAAACGGCTCTTTTTAGAGCCAACAAATATTTTAAAGTAAATGACACTATGCTTTTGGTAGAAATAAGCTCATTTATGAAATAAAAAACATACCAGGGTAGCTATAGTGCACATGAAATATTACAGCCCAAATCGACCAAAACCTGAAAGTAATAATAAAAAATGTTCCACGAAGAAAACAACACTCGAAGATAAACCATATCTTCGTTCTCCCAATTATATCTATCATAATAAAGCTTATATATGAAATACCTATATTTCTCCATTTTCGTAAAATTGATATGTCTAAAACGATACCCTGGTTCCACAGGCTTGTCTTTTAGACGTTATCGAGGCAATCGGTTTGGCGTAAAAATATTGTTTTGAGATAAACTGTTTTCTCTTGTCTCGTACTCRCTGTTTGCAATGGAATACCATTTAGCTGAATAAGTTTTTTTTTCAAAAGGTCTAATGGATAATAAAATCATTGGTCCTTGGAAAGTGCGTCTTCCTAAGCACTTTGGGCTTCCTGTGCTGTATCTCCCGCGTCGATCTTCTAAGCGAGGCTGTCAACCTCGAGGTCATCATCTTTATCAAGCTTCCCTTCATTCATGTGGCAATTCTGAACTGTTTTACTCTCAAWTCCATATTTTACTGCGATACGTTACTAAAAAGTGACAGATAATAGTTCAGGAAAAGATGGCAGATCAAARTTGTAAGTTTATATTGTGGTTTAAATCAGTTTTGTTTCTTTATTGGTGATCCTTTGAGGGACGCCATTTGCAATCTCTTTTCTTTTCGAACGTGATGGTCGCCTTGAACTTCTTTCTTGGAATATGAAACTGTCGAAATTATTTGCTTGACAATACACGTTTAAAATCAAAGTAAACATTTTCAAGAGTTTTTTGTAAGACACAACTGTTGTATACAGCAGTATTTGCATCCTCAAGGCGCGCTATATTAAACGAGAACGAGGAAGGAACACATTTTTATATCAGTCAAATAATTATAATCAACAAGTAAATTGACCTTCAAAAAAGAAGATAGACATCTTTAATAAGCTTGATAGTTGATGCGCCTGAAAGTATATATAACAAAAAATAATCATAGAAAAAATTCTCAAAGCTCAAGGTTATTAACTTAATTTCTAAATTTATTACAATTTATTAGAAGATTAAAGAAACGATACATGGCATGTGCATCTTTTGATAACTAAGGCCTAAGTTGTAAGACAAACTTCACGTGTCAAATAGAATTCTACTTTATTTGACTGAAATTATTAAATATGAACTTTGTATGTATCAGCGTCAAGCCTTTGCCRTGCAGCAYGACTGGCATTGCTGTGMTACGGTYGCSCYGAACTCAATTGATTCGTWCGTTGAGCTGTTCATGTGCTAAATTCAAACTATTTGGTTCGGCGCAACGCTGGCTYGACGTATGAACCAGGCCTAATTTAACACTGACAAATTCATTTRATTTACATGACACATGTATTTGGCACAGGTCAGTGTATAACCTGGGTCTAATAAACACTGTATCTTGAGTTTATGTTTTGTAATATTAGACTCATCAGGATATAGCCAAAGAGGCAGTAGTGGAGGATATGGAGATTCTCAAGGTGGCGGGTAAGTGATATATAATTATTGGTTGGCTTTAAGGACGTTCATTGGCAATGGATTCCGTGATGTCAATTCGATGAAATTTTTTGGGGAAATACGCGATGACATAAACTTGCAAAAAAAGCGATAAAAAAGTGGAGGTCACCGGCTTCATTTTAGAGATAATTCTTGCACAAAATCACCAAAATTGTCAAAGAAAAGCGCGCGAAAAGGGGTTGATGCCGTCTACCAAAAAACTTCCCGAAAAATATAAAACACATATCAATTGATCCAAATTTTTCCACAAAAGCTGAGGTCGATAATTGTTAATATTGTTTACGAGACTTTGAAACATTACATGATGTGATTTTTGATTTCTTTAGGACTTTTGTTCGTGTAAGGCCGCTACATTCGACGTCAAGAATAGGTGTCATTTCCAGCTAAAACTGCTATATTTCAGAAACCTCTGTTGTCGTTTTTTCCGCTTTCACATATGTTATATTTTTTCCAAGTAGCCTTCTTTTAAGATAAATAGAAATTGGGGTTACCGGGTTCGTTGTCGAAATATTTCGTGTCGAAATCTTAGATTTTGCAGGCCATCTTGAATTGCGAGAGACTTTTTTCTGCCAATCTACGACTTTTTAGAGCATTTTCAACACTTTTTCGCCTCATCAATTCTTTAGCAGTAGTAAATCTCTCATTTTTTGAACGTGAAGACATTTTTCATTCAAGTAGAAGTTCAGAAAAGTACGTACAAAACCTCATAAACACATAACAAGAGCGGTCGCCATCTTTGTTTTGCGTGATGCAATTTCGTGACAACTTCCGGTTTGGGCGTGCGCAGAAAGCGTGCGCAGTAGCAATGCCCTCCAACGTCCTTAAGGCATTAAAATATCTCTGGTCCAAATGTATTACTCTAAAGTGTTAACATAGATTGTATCATTCAATTGTTGATTGTCATTTATCAAGATATCAGTCATATGGTCAAAGCTATGGACAAGATACACAAGCTCAACCTGGCTATCAGTCAACAGGCTATTCCACAGCAACTACTACTGGTTACCAAGGATCCTATGGATCATCRGATCAAACCTACCAGTCCTCTGGCTCATATGGAGGTGGTTACCAGACCTCTCAGCCTAGTAGTGGAACAGGCTATCARCAGGGAGGAGGTGGATACTCAGGAGGTGGAAGTACTAGCAGTGGCAGTAGTGGTGGTAGTGGTGATGGTGGGTATCAACAGCAAAGCTACTACCAAGGCCAAGGTGGTGCTGCCAAATCAGATTACCAATCACAAGGTGGTTATGGTGGTGGATACTCCTCAGGGGGAGCTACTGGTGGTAGCAGCTATGGTGGAAGCTCTGGTGGTGGAGGAGGAGGGGGATATGAATCAAGATATTCTGGTGGAAGCGGTGGAGGAAGTGGTGGTGGTGGTTACGGCGGTGGTGGCGGTGGAGGATACAGAGGGTATGTATTGTTTTATCCTTTCTATAATCCATGATAGACCTGATAACCTCTGGGTAAACATAGTTACTGAGAAACAGCAGGGAAATTATGATATATAATATWACCAGTTGCAATGCGTTATACGAATAGCTAAGCATATTTACGAACAATCTTATGGTATATATATCACGTAAATCATTTACAAATTATGCTGGTGAGTAAAAGGTTAGTGGTTATAMCAATGAAATATTCAGCACATATCAATGAGTAAATGGTGAATATTGGTCTTTATACCAACAAGAAAGTCAAATGGTTTATGATCAAATTAAATGCAATGGTATCATCTATACATGAAAATGTACCCCTTTGA